GGAGGGCATTCCATAGTCTGGGGGCAGCTGCCGAAAAGGCCCTTTGTCTACAGGCCGTGCCTCTTACCTCCTTGAGGGACGGCTCTTTCAAAAGGGCCCCCTGGCTAGATCTTAACTGCCGGGTAGGTTCATATGGAAGGAGGCGGTCCTTCAGGTATCCAGGGCCCAAGCCCTGAAAATATAGATGTTCATGGGATCATTTTTCATGCTCAAAAGCTCTATTATTAATTCAATATATTTGAAATATACAGGTCTGTATACATATAAATAAATGTATCCCTGGTTATACAAAAACACTAGTTTTACTCCATCGTGGAATAATTGGTTGGCAAAGTTATATGCAGTGGTGCCTCTCTTAGTGATTGCTCCGTTTAACAACGAAATCGCTTAGCGACGACTTTCCCGGAGCGTTTTTGCGCTTCGTTTAACGATGGTCCCTATGGGCGATTTTTGCTTAGCGATGTTTCCTATGGCGATTTTCGCTTAAGGGCGGCAATTCGTACCTATTGGAGTGGATTATCTGGTTTTCAATGCATTTCAATGGGAAACCGCGTTTCGCTTAGCCTCGTGGCACAGTGGTTAAAATGCTGTACTGCAGCTAAAACTGTGCTCACGACCTGGGGTTCAAATCCCGGGTAGCTGGCTCAAGGTTGACTCAGCCTTCCATCCTTCCGAGGTCGGTAAAATGAGTACCCAGCTTGCTGGGGGGGCAATGTGTAGCCTGTATAACTAAAAATTGTAAACCGCCCGGAGAGTGCTTGTAGCGCTATGGGGCGGTATATAAGTCCAATAAATAAATAAATAAATAAATATTAGCAGCGATTTTTTTGGGAATGAATTAACATCGCTAAGCGAGGCACCACTGTAATCATAGAGTTCAGCCATTTTGTCTAGAATGACCTTTGTCCTTGAAGTGGCCATTTAGGGCAGGAGTAGATATGTGCCAGGGATCTAGAAATCATTTTTCTGCCCCCATGACCTCAGGAGGTCCCAAACCATCCCTTCTGTGTGAACCTGCAAGTGATTGGAAGATAACTTTCAGTTCAGGGGCAGGAGACTACCTCGGCTCTCAGTTTTCCAGGGACAATGTGAGTCTCACCCTTTGGTCTCAAGTGACAAGAGAACAGTTAACTTCCCTGTGGATGACCTTGTGTCTATTTAACCAAAGTTCTCTGAGGTCTGTCTCAAAGGGATGTAAATATTTCCTGGTTCATAACCTCTGTCAATCTCTGAGCCATCAGACCTAAATGCAAACCAGCACACACCCTTTTAATGTTCGTTATAAGGGATCTCTTTGTATTTTATGATGTGTGGTCTCATTTCTTTTTACAGGAGCCTTTCCAAAGCTGCTTGAGGACAGTGGAAATTGTAGGCTAACACATTTGAAGGACATTTCAGTTCGAGGCTGTTCTAGGGCTAGATGCTGTTGCAAAGAAATTCTGTCTAGGAAGAGTAGTGTTACTTCCATGTCCCCAGTCACCTGGCCCTCATTGGTACCTCCATTACCAAAAAACACATGGGAAAATAAGAACCTTGTCTCCACCTGGACATGAGAGAGCCTAGAAAACAAAAAGGCTTTCTCCCCTGATAAATTCACTAAGTCAGCAATAGAGCTTGGAAGAATTACTTTCTGAAACACAATTCCTTAAATGCTTTAGCTAGCATGCCAACAAGTAATTTTTCCAATATATGCAGATGATACTTATTTGCTGCAATACAGAATGGAGATCCCTAAGTCAGCTGTGCTAGCAATTTCATCATGTACAATTTAACAGCCTCTGCTACAGTTCACCCTCCTTTAGTAAATATATAGTAAATATATTGATATTTAGTAAATATATATATTTACTAAAGGAGGGCGAACTGTAGCAGAGACTGTTAAATTGTACATGATGAAATCGCTAGCACAGCTGACTTATGGAGCACCGTTCTGTACTGTAGCAAAGAAGTCCCCGATGGAAAGACTGCAATCCAAATTTTTAAGAGCCATATTACAGCCACCAACAAATGCACCAAATGCAATGGTGTGCTTGGAAACCATCTTAGGTACCATTGAGACTAGACTCTGGGTTGCAGTCATGATCTACTAGCTAAAACTGAACACTCTGGCTCATGGACTTGTCCATCTGCTATTAAAAGATAATTTTGCCCCCACTTGGCTAAAATTGTTGAAGAACAAATTAGGGCATTATGGTCTCTCACAACAATTCTTAACGTCCATAAATAGAGACCAGACCAAGAGCCTGGCTAAACAAAGGATTTTAGATAGAGAAAGACAACATGACCTGAACAGAGTTAACAGTCGTATAAGAGAAATAACCCCTATGAATAGAATTATACCAATGTCCTACATAAATGAATTAGACAACCCTGACTGCAGAAGGGCAGTTACGTTAATGTGCTCAGATATGTTACCTTCAGCTGTATTGGAAGGGAGATATAAGAAAATTGCCTATTCGAAGCGACTATGTGTGTGTGCCGAGGGGAAGATTAAGACTTTGCATATTCCCTTTGAGTGCAAAATACATGAACATATCTGGGAATGGTATATTAATCCTATAATATCAGATATGGAGGGGAGAGAAAGGGAGGGTGGTCTCGAGAAGTTGCCAATGGATAGAAACAAAAAAAATCTGTAAAGTCACTTAATAGGGTCATTTAGGCATTAAATTGAGGGGAAATTGGATAACCCAATCTGATAAAGATGAATAGTAAATAGGTCTGTAAATAAGAAGCCTAATTTTATTTAAATGTAGAACGTATTATACAAAATGCCACTGTAGTGTATCTTCTAAGTAATTTTAAATACTTTTAATCTCAAATGTTGAAAGTTACTGTTACATAATCTTGTTGATGATTTGTTATGGTTGTGTTATTGAGCACTTTGAGTCTGATGGCCATTGGCTAATAAACTTAGCTAGTACTGTATCTAACTTCCTGTTTGGAAGTCAGCATCCGGAATGTTCTTAGTATGGTACAGAGGCCCTACTTTCTATATATTTGTAGAACAAAATGTACAGGGCATCTGAAGTGGGCCTTAGCCCCCCAAAAGTTTATATCAAATAAAACTTGTTAGTCTTTAAAACGTCACAGTCGGTTTGATTTTAGAGCAGGGGTTCCCAACCTTTTTCGATTTGTGACCCCCCCCCTTTATAATAGCTATGTAACTTGTGACCCCTCCACCACATTTGAATAAAAATGTGATTGTTCCCTAGTAGTGCTGACAATGATGCAGCTGCGCCTTGCCACCAACTTCAAAACAGCGGTACTCAGGGAGGGGTCAAAACCATCATGCAGAAAAGTTCCCCCTTAAAAACAAACATGAAGCGTTCCTTACACCTGCCGCAGAAGAGATGCGCTGTTTGTTTTTGTGTTCCCGTCCTAGGGATTTGTCGTATGTGTATTTTTTTTCTTCTTTTTCTCTTTCCTCCCTTTTTTTAAGGCTCTCTGGAAGTGAGGCGTTTTCGTTCAAATCCCTTTCTTGTGGAAGTGGCAGCAATTATATCTTTCTGCTAGCATTTCTTTTTTTAATAAAAAATAGTCCAGGTCCCCCCCCCCATCTCAGAGAGTAGAGGCTTCTTTATCCCCCAAAGGGCTTTTTTCTCGTACATACCTATACACACCAACTTTCATATCCTGTTCTGGAAGGTGAAGGAAGAAATTGTTTAACAAGGGCTTGTTGTTGTTGTTGTTGTTTAGTCGTTAAGTCGTGTCCAACTCTTCGTGACCCCATGGAGCACACCAAGCCCTCCTGTCTTCCACTGCCTCCCCGAGTTTGGTCAAATTTATGTTGATAGTTTCAATGACACTGTCCAACCATCTCATCCTCTGTCGTCCCCTTCTCCTCCTGCCTTCAGACTTTCCCAACATCAGGGTCTTTTCCAGGGAGTCTTCGCTTCTCATGAGATGGCCAAAGTACTGGAGCCTCAGCTTCAGGATCTGTCCTTCCAGTGAGCACTCAGGGTTGATTTCCTGCAAAATGGATAGGCTTGATCTCCTTGCAGACCAGGGGACTCTCAAGAGTGTCCTCCAGCACCACAATTCAAAAGCATTAACAAGGGCTACAGCACATATAAAGTGGCCCACGACCCCCAGGGTGGGAAACACTGTTTTCGAGTGTGATACAATCCACATGTGGGACATGTCCCAGAAAGGCAATGAATATGCTACTCATTTTGGAACCAGTTACCTCAGGAGTTGGTGAGAATGCCTCCAACACTGGATAAAAACTTGGATAATCACCTGGCAAATATGCTTTCATTGTTTTCATTGTATTCCTGCGTTGAGCCAGGGGGTTGGACTTGATGGCCTTGTAGGCCCCTTCCAACTTCACTTTTCTACGATTCTATAATTTCTATGATTCTATTAAGAATTTTTCTGAACACAGTGGAGGTAGAAGCTACAAGACGTTCAGTTTTCCACATAGTAATAATTACAGTTGATTGCCTTTAGTGTCTTGGTACGTGTGAAGAAAATCTTAGAGGGATCCTTCTAGATGTTCGCCCTGCTGCCTCCTGAATAATAGGAGTAGACTAGTCTGAAACCCAAGGTAGATCCAACTTGTCTTGCGTTAGTGAGGCCTTGTATACCAACCATTTTTCCACTGCTTCTTCTAACAGCCTTCTTAATATCTAGTCTATCACAGAGTCATGGTCTAGCTTTGTCTTTGCTTATTGTGGTAGACCATACGACCAGGGCAATCTGCAGTTTAGTTAAGGATGTTTTGCTCCATTTGACTGAAGAAGGAGAGCACTGTGAAGCCTGGGGCAAAGTCCCAATAGCCCCTCCTTAGTTATTCCTCTGTCTTTCAAAAAAGAATACAGGTAAGTGGCTTAGCAAGTGGCTGTATGTAAATCGTGCTGCATTTCCATTTGGCAAATGATTGGTTGCTTGAACTCAATGAAAAATTCCTTTTGCTACAGATTTTCTCTTCCATAATGAACAATGTTTTGAAAGGCCTTCTAGCTTAGTTTGAATTTTATGTCTTTTTTTCATATTAGGAAATGTTAAAATGCAGCAAGAATTCGGAAGGCACCGCTGAACTGGAAGAAGCTCTAGCCACAGTGCTTGATATCATCAAGTCTGCTAATGACTCCATGCACCAGATAGCAATTACAGGTTATGAGGTAGGTATTAAGCAAATCAAATTAAGTCCATCAGTTTTTCAAACCCGAGAGTGGCTTGGAATGTTACTGGTGACTAGAAACTCTTAAGTTCCGAAATGCCCCTGGAGAGAAGTGGCAGGTTGAGTTTCACAAGGTACTTTCTTGCGCTCGTTATGATTCAGAATCTTTATCAATGTAGATGTAGGCACAGACTACAGATGTAGGTCCATCATATTTGTGGATAACACTAAACTGGGTTGGGTAGCTAATACTTCAGAAGACATCATCAGATTGGAGGACTGGGCCAAAACAAAAGGAATTTCAGCAGGGAAGCATGTAAAATTCTTTATTTAGATGGGGAAAATGAGATGCAGAAATATAGAATGTGTGATGCTTCGTTTGGTTGTAGTTTCTATGAAAGGGGTCTAGGGGTCTTTGGAGACCCCAAGCTAAGCATGAATTTCAACAGTATGATGTGGCAACCACTCTGTTTGACATTAGTCTGATCTCACCTGGAAAGCTAAAATCCACTTCTAAATAAGGTGACTTAAGTTGAGAAATGTTCTAGAAACTAAGTAATATGAAGAACAGTTGAGGTAGCTAAGTATGTTTAGACTGGAGATGACTCAGAGGGGATATAATAACCACTTTCAAGTTTTTGAAGGAAAATGGAGTAGAAGATGGAACAGGCTTATTTCCTGTGGCTCCAGAGGTCAGGAATCAAGGAAATGGATTCAAATTACAAGAAAGGAGGTTTCAATTAAACATTAGGACAGATGTAAGAGCTGTTTGGACTCCCTTGAAAGATGAAGGACTTTCCTGCATTGAAAGGCTGTCAGGAACACTTTAGGAGTAGATTTTTTTTTCTTTGTCTTACTTCCCTGGCCATAGTTCTATTATTCTTTTGCCTGGAAACAGGATCTTTGAAGGATCACCACTTTTAATTCTAACCACTCACTCTCTCAGGTCTTCAGCAGGACTGTGTGCTCTCCAGTCTTCTGTTGATCAGTCCTTGTGTATCCCCCTCCCCCCTTTGGGAATTCTACCTTCGATCTCATTTTTGGTTTTCTACCATTTTGGTAAAATATTTGTTCCACAGAATTCCCAGGTTTTCTTTTATTAAAAGATAGGGTTTTTGTTTTATTATATCCCTTCTAGGTTTTTTGTGCAATTTCTTCCTGCCACTGAAAATTCAGAGTACGGTCATTTTAATTCTTTCTTCATTTTATCAAATTATTGTTGTTAACGCGAAACCTAAATTTTGTTCACTTAGAAGTTTTGCTGGCTTTTGTTAAATGGGAAATTACCATATTTTTCGCACCATAAGACGGACTTTTCCCCCACAAAACAGGGGGGGTGGAAAGTCTGTGCGTCTTATGGAGCGAAGAAAACAGATTATATTTTCCTGTTTTCTTCTCCTAAAAAATTGGTGTGTCTTATGGAAAGGTGAGTCTTATGGAGCGAAAAATACGGTAGTTTGTACTTTAGAAGTATAAATATGAAATAACTTACCTGTTGGTGTAGATCTATACTTTATACTTATAGATATACATCCATAATGTTTAATGTCGGGGGTAGCCAAGATGATGGCCTCCTAATTTTTTAGACTAGAACTCCCATAACACCTCACTGTTCCCCATGCTGGCTGTGGCTGATGAGAATTGTCATCCAAAACATTAAGAGGCCACTAAGTCACCTATCCTTGGTCTGCAGTGGCTAACAAAATCTCTTTACAGTTGCAAATCCCTCACCTGAAAAAGCCAGGGTGAATGAAGGACTTTTTGCATGTGAAGCATGTGTTCTACCGCTATGCTACAGATCTTCCCAAGAAAAATGTTATGTATATATATTCTAAAGTAAGTGAATAAATGAACAGATATTTAAGGTAAAATCAGCATTCACAGCAATGCTTTCTTGAAAGACAGCTTTCTAATCTTCCTCTAAAACGAGGTGGGAGTGTATTCACAGTTCATGCAGAAAGTGGTGGAACATATCTAGTATTTTTTCACAGTGTGTGCAACTGAAAATGTTTTGGAATCTTTTATATTTTGTCATGCAGAAGTTCTTGAGGGACAAAGCTGTATGGAAGATGTTTTCCTAGTACAGAAAGGTTGAAAAGCAAGGTCTTTGTAGGGAAACTGAGAGTGCAACAGGAAGGGACATAATTTATGGTTTAAAAAATCATTATTTTTCAATAATTGGTTTTCCTGACTGCTCACGTGAAGTCAAATTAAGTCAAAATCATATTCTTTACACACCACTTGAAGGAGATAAATTAGTTTCGGTTTGAAATAACAAGTGTGATTCTGGTCAACGAAGCCATTCACTAAATTAGATTGAAGGTGCTTGTCTGAGTTTAAATAAGAAAGGGAACGAAGAGAGAGATTCCTTCTCTTACATTACTTCTTTTTTTTCTGTCAGTAAATCTAGTATTTTTCATCCTTCTTCTCTGGCAGTTTATCCTGAAAATGCCATGCCAGCCATATGTGACATTTTCCTTTAACCAAATTGACCTAATTCTCTCCCAACATTCTATGATTCACCAGTGTTCTCTTACTAGTTAGAATGTTTGTAGATATTCTGCGATTTCACATCACTTATTCATCCCATGCAGGAGAACAGGATGGGGAACAGGAAGAAGTATTCACCACCCACAGTAACCTTCATTTAAACTGTTGATAGTTTAGCACAATTTAATGAAGAATGTAGCTTGTGTTGTCTTGCTTATGCGAGAGCTGTCTTATCTCTGTGGATTATACACCATCTGTATTAAAAAAAATCTACCTACCTCTTGCTTTTAAATGCTTTTTCCTAGAAGGTTAAGCCAAGCGAGCGTACATTTAAGTTATGTAATGGAAATTCTGCATTTGTAGGCAGTAAGTTCAAATTAATTGGCCATTTTAATAACAGCAATATGCTGGATCAATCCAGCATTTCCCTTATGCTATGAGACAAAAACAGGAAGCAATTACTGCTGAAGGTACAATTCTGAAGGTAATTAAAAAGAAGGACCAGCATCCACCAGCGCAAGAGGGAAGAGATGCTTCTGGATATATGCAGCAAAACATCTTATGACTCCTTGACAATGAACACATTTATCACAACACACTCAGTAGCATTTTTCCAAATCATAACCTTTCACATGTTTTCATCTCTACCTGCTTTTCAGCTGTTATCTGGTTTAATCTCACAATCAGTTTTAATTTTCTAAACCGTTCTAGTTCTGAGAAAAAGGCAGGATATTAAACAATCAATTAATCACATGAACAGACTAGCAAATTCCGCCTTCAGACACCCATCCAAGTGTCTCTGCTTACAGAGCGACAGCATTAGAAAAAGACCCGAGAGGTTATCTCGACTGACCCATAATTAACATTTGTTTTTACAGCAAAAGAACGAATAGAGCTGCCTTCTGGAAACTGAGCGTAAACAATGAGTAAAGCTATGAAGCTGAGATTAATGGGAAGAAAATGAAATATAAACGGAACAATGAATGCTAGGATTTTGCTTTTATTGCCCCTCCACTCGTTGTCTTTTTCTACAGGGAGATGTACATGAGCTTGGCAAATTACTCCTACAGGGTTCCTTTAATGTTTGGACGGATCACAAGAAGGGTCACAACAAAGTGAAAGATTTGGCTAGGTTCAAGCCGATGCAGAGGCATCTCTTCCTCTACGCGAAAATCCTGCTTTTCTGCAAGAAGCGGGAAGAAAACACAGATGGCCACGAGAAGTCCCCTTCATACAGCTTTAAGAATTCTTTAAAGGTAAACAGGAGCTGTTTTGTTAGGGTGGAAGAGGTGTGGGCGTCTGTGAACCACCAATGGTTTTTTGAAATAACACTGCAAATAAGCTGGAAGGCATGCTGATTTGCGTTCTCCTCAGAGAACGTTCTGGGTGGAAAAGCAAGTGCTTTCAATGTCTTTGGATGGAGGAGCAACAGATGCTTGCAATTTATTTGCTTGATTTATTTTATCTGCAAATAAAGCCTCATAGCAAGATTGCTATGATGGGCAGCAGATCGGTAGATCCCTCAGCAGATTTCCCAGAGCAGGGCCACAGAGCTGTCCCAGTTCACCAGGTAGCTTCCCATCGCGCTAGTAAATCCTTGGATTCAAGACTTCTGCTGGTTGTTTCTCAGCTTCTACTTACTCTGATCAGAGTTACATTCAAAAGGCTGGACCAGGAACGGGTGACTTCCAACCCATGAGGCCTCATCATCATTCTAGCCCATGTCATTCACTCCAAGGCCCTGGGGTGGGGGGTTCTGCTGAGCAAAGCACTCTTCTCCATTGCCCTAGTGTGTGAATGTATGCATGTAAACAGCATGTTCATATTTATGTATGAGAGAACTGTGTATATATATATATCACAACTCTCTCATACATAAATATGAACAACTCTCTCATACATAAATATATATACATAAATATATATATACATATATACATATATATATATGTGAGAGAGTAGGGTGATCACACCCACTGGTGGCATTTGCCACAGTTGCTGCATACTAGGCAGATGGCTTCCTATTGACCATCCAGCCCTTGGGCCCAAATTAGTTTCCCAGTCTCAGTGGAGACCATTAAAAGAAAATAGTCCCAGTTCCACCCTTCACTAATGTTATCTTTCAAGTTCCTGACTATTAAGTCACCTGCCAGGCAAAGCTTTAAATGTACAGTTGCTGCGAAAACTCTTATCAGTCTACCACGGGCACTTCAGAACCCATGACCTTGATCGACGCACAGATGAGCCAGAATGCAACCAGATACATTTATGACGCAGGCGTGTCAGTGGGTATTAGTCATGGCAGCTTAAATGGGTCCTTCAGGCTTTGAATGCCAACTGCTGGAGAGGGGGAAAAGGCATCAGCCTCTATTCCTGATGCCATACTATGTATGGTTTGTACCACAGACAGGGGCTGTTTGGCCAACGGGAGGAACCTGATGCTGGATGAGATAAGACCTGGATCGGTTCCTAAAGGGCTCTTCTTACATGGCTTTCCCTTCCGAACTCCCTGCGTTTCCTTCCTCTGTTACCTCAGGCTCAAGGACATGCTACCACATTGCCCACACCCTCTCCCATCAGCTGCCTTCTGACTCACTCTGGGCATGAGGGAGGTTGCAGGAGGGCTTTGTGGAGAAGTATGCACTGTTGTCAAAACAGCTGATGCTGCTCCACTCAGAGTTACAAGAGCTTGAAAGCATGCTGCTTATATACCACCCCCTGGTGCTTCAAGCACTCTCTGGGCGGTTTACAAGTTAATGATGCAGGATACACATGGCCCGCCCGCCCCAGCAAGTCACTCTCTGGGTGGTTTACAAGTTAATGATACACGTGGCCCGCCCGCCCTAGCAAGTTGGGTACTCATTTTACTAGCCTCGGAAGGATAGAAGGCCGAGTCAGCCTTGAGCCAGCTACCTGGGATTGAACTCTGGGTCAATGAGCACAGTTTTGGCTGCAGTGCACCAGTTTCACCACTGTGCCACGAGGCTCCAGTATCTGAAGTTATTTCCATCATTGCCCAGGCAATTCATCCATTATGGCTGACTCTGAGGTCCCCTTCAAGCCAGGCGTTTCAGGCCTGCCAGCTCTTAAGAGTTCCTCACTGGCCAGCAGTTGAGCTGTCTGGAGTGGTGGGGATTGTCTATGAAATGACCTTCGTTACACATTGTACCACCTGTGACAAATGCCTCTCACCCTGCCTCATGGAAGAGCCCTATCCTGTCCTGAGGTTGCTGTGAGCTATCCTAGGCTAATTCTTCAGAGTGCTACTCTTGGCTGCTTTTAAGCTGTGTGAGCAAACTTAGAATTTTACATTTGTCACGTAGAATATTACAAGATCCCACAGACAACATTCACCCAGCAACGCCCCTTGCTGAATGTCCGTTCGAGACTAAAATAGATGCTGCTTAGTATGGAAGCCAATCTACATGGCTTCTTGGTTTTATATCTGCACAAACATGGAGGTGCTTACTGGAGTCAGCATCATGGAAGCACAGCCCTCTTGGGCTAATAAATTACCGCGGTGGGGAAAAGTGATCTTACAGAACACAAGTGACTCATTTTGTTTCTCATCCTGCCACACCTATGTGTACAATAAATATAAACTGTAAAGGAGAAATGGGAGATTTGTGGCTCTCCAGATATTGCTGGATAGGTTGCAGAATTTTGAATTTCTGATTAAATTCCCCTTGGTGTGCAACAGAAATGCAAGGGTTCAGAAAGCAGAATTAGCTTCAAATTCCCCAGAGTAGGCCACCCCTTTTCTCATTAACTGGCACTAAAAGTTTCATTAACATAGTAGGGGAAAAGAGTAAAAACAATTTTTTTCACTTACAGTTGTGAACAGATCAAACAGCAAGCTGACAAAAATGATTGCTTTCAGCAACAGACTTCTTCAGACTAGAGAAAAATGATTGCTTTCAGCAACAGACTTTTGCAGACTAGAGAAAAGGTTCTCAACAGAGAGGCAGGCTCTCTTTGAGTTCTGAAGCAAGAAAGAACTACTGGTTAGTGCTGGATGGATTGACAGTCACCCTAGCCTGGAATGATCTCTCCTTGCAACTTTGCATGCTGCCTAGAGGCATGAGATAACAGCAATGATGGGCCAATGATGAGACAGGGCGTATTAATAGTCAGGCAACAGCCAGTCTGTGAAATGCAGGAACTTAACTTCCTAGTGTATAGATTTAGTTCTCACGATAGCTAAGGCTTAGCGGTTCCCTATTAAGAAACTTCTTTGTATTGTTGAAATTTTATGTGTATAACCTATGTGAACTGAAAGTGTGGAATCTGCATCATGAAGTTAAAATGTAATATTCTGTATTCAAGGTTGTTTTTTTTACAGATGAGTACTGTTGGTATTACTGAAAATGTCAAAGGTGATAATAAAAAATTTGAGATCTGGTACAATGGCAGAGAAGAAGTCTATATTATTCAGGTATTGTATGCCTTTTTTAAAAAAAGTTTCCAACTGCCTTACCGCCTATGTTACTTGCTAATATTATTAAATTTGTATTCTTGAAGGCTTTCATGGCCGGGATTTGATGGTTGTTGTAGGTTTTTTGGGCTGTTTGGCTGTGTTATGAAGGTTTTGCTTCCTAACATTTCGCCAGTCTTTGTGGCCGGCATCTTCAGAGAACAGGAGTTAGATCTCTGTCTGTGTTCTGGCATAGTGTGTGGGATAGTTGAATATCTGTAGCTGTGGGGTCGGCTTTTTGTCCTTTTCAGGAGATTAGGTGATTATGGTGATGAGGGTGTTTTTTTCTTATTGGTGTATTGTTGTGATAAGGGGGGGGAGATGATCTGTCACTGTGATTAATGGGTGCTGTTAGCTAGTCTTTTGTGTGCAGTGATCACTGGTCCTTGTGGCTGGGTAGAGTTCATTGACCTTTTTGCAAGCTGTATTTTTCAGTGCTGGAAGCCAGGCAAAAGGATCAAACATGAAAAAAAAATTAGCAATACCAAAACACACTCAAAGCAATAAGATACAACCATCCATTTAAAGCCCCACTCAGGAAAAGCTTCTCTGAAGAGAAAGGTCTTCTTCTGCTTGCAGAAGAACAGCCAAGATGAGGCCAGTCTGGCCTCCAGTAGGAGGGAGTTTCAAACTCTGGGCCCTCTCCCATGTCCCCATCAGACACACCTGTGCTGGTGCTGGGACTGAAGGAAAGGCCTCCCCTGATTATCCTAACACTTGAGCAGGCTCATCAAGGGAGATACAGTCCTTGTGACAGCATGGGCCCAAGCTTTTTAGGGCTGGACAACGATGCTCAGGTTTTTCCCTGTCCAGGAACAGCTTATGGGCACAAGTATTTGCCCAAGCACTTGAGGAATGGACCTCAACAGACTGGAAACCTTGACATCTGAGTGTTCAGCCTGGAGGCAGGTGGTGCATCATGGCCTCTCCCAATTTGAAGAGACACTTGTTCAGCAGGCTGAGGCAAAGAGGCAGTCCCCAAACCATCAAAATTAGGGAGCTGAACAGGGGACATATTGTATTTGTCTTCTGTGTGGAAGGGATTGTCACTCTCGAATTGGCATTTTCAGCCATACTAGATGTTGTTCCAAGACCTCTATTCAGAGCATGTTACCATACTCTCTCAAGACTGAAGGATGCCTACATACAAGCTGAGATATCTAAGGAGAGAACAAAGGCTTGCCTCTGTAAATAGGCTTCCTTCAGTCACAAGGCTTAGCTTCCTACAGTCACAAGGCTTAGCTTCCTCCAATCATGAGCCTTATGGAACTGACGTGAACTGATTTTGAACAAACCAATTTGAACATACCTCATTGGAGGTGGAGCCTATAGGCTCAGATTCAACAGGGACTCCTAATGTCCAAGCATTCTGAGCCCAGAGGCTGAATACTCAAATCTAGGTTTTCTTAATTTTTGGGTTAGAAAAGTAGGGAGGGGATTGTCTTATAAATGGGGGCATGTTTTAAATGGAAAAATATGGTACGTTGCTCCCCTCCCTTCAGTCTGAGTTCCTTAATAGTTCTAAGGGCACGCCAGATTGTGTCACTGCTACAAAATATTGTGCATTACCATGGTTCCCTTTCTGATCCAGCAGACAGACTATGGCAGCTGGGACTGATATGAGGCATATCTAAAACAAAACAAACCAACAAAAAACAAAAGAAACTTAAGACCTCAAGCAGTCTGCTCAGGAAGGAAGATTGTGGGGGCAGATGTTAATCAGGCCCGCCATGTTGAATACCTTAGAATAGCTCAGTGGTTTCCAAGCATTTTAGAGATGCTGGGCATTAGGCATGATCCCAGCCAGCACGCAGGGAGACCTGCCAGCCAGGGAGAGGGAGGTGGTGGTGAAGGATGAGAGGATTCTGTAGCGCCCCTGGCTGGGTTTGGCAGTGCCCTAGAGCAATGGTCCCCAACCTTGGGCCTCCAGATGTTCTTGAACTACAACTCCCAGAAGCCTTCACCACCACCTCGTCTGTCCAGGATTTCTGGGAGTTGAAGTCCAAGAACATGTGTTCTGTGTTGCTGTGTTGGGCTTTATGAAGGAACTTTGGTGTGATGTGTTGTGTCTTCATCACCGCAGAGGAGTGCGGCTGCTTTGCTTCACACAGTCAAACTGCACGTTAAGAGAAGTGTGTATGACACTGTTTTCCTCCTGGGTTAACTCCTCCAAAGTCCCTGAGCAATTAAACTTCCAAATGAGGCCCATGTTTACTTCCCAGTAACCAATCACAAACCAAAAGCAAACTAGTGTGCCGGATGCAGAAGTGGGGAAAGCATGTTCAGATAAACAGGCATATCTCAAGGCAGCTCTCCTTTTAGTTACGTACATGCTAACTGTATGATCTCTCTTTGTCTTAGAGGCGAAACTAATCAACAGTATGAAAATCAGGAAGGTGTTTGTCTCCTGGTTAATGTGGGATAAGACAACCTTGT